GCGGCCCGAGCCCCGAGGGCCGTGCGACGAGCCCGGAGGTCCCCGCGGACTCGCCACGCGGTGTGGCCACCGCCACTCGGGGGGCCCCCGCTCCTACAGGGCAGCTTTTAATACATCGGATTTTGCTTAAAAGGAAAAACATCAGATTTGTTTTATACATGACTAATGTATGAAGAAAGTTGTGCATGAACTCATCGTTGTTTTTAGAACTACATCCCTGCATTTTTTGATACATGATCCGCACGCGGAGCACGTATCAAAAACGGCACGGTAGGGACCAGGGACGGGCGACACCAGGACCACCCTGGCGGTGCGGCTTCTCCCCCTCCCCCTCGGGGCGCCGCCCGCCTCCGGCCCGGGGAGGCCCCGTGGGACCTCCCCTCGCAGGAGGCAGGAGAGCCCGACATCGGCTCGATACGTCGGATCGGCGATCGACAGGCATCGGATCGGCGGAGGCCGGCAGCCGAGTCGGGAAAAGCCGAATCGGCGGAAATCGGCAGGCTAGTGCGCTTCCATGTAAGAGCTCGGCACCCGAACCCGAATCCCAAGTCGCATGGAATCGGAATCGGAGGCCATCGCACTCGAAGCGAAGCGAAGCGGAGGCATCGAAAGGAGCCCCCGTGGAGGTGGCCCCCCCTCTGGCGGTGGTGGTGTCGCTTCGCCCCCCGTCGAGCCCCGCGCCCGCGTGCCCCTGGGGAGGCCTCCGCTCCTGCCCCCCTGGGGGTGTGGGGGGGTGGGGGGGGGGGGCAGCGCCGCCTGGCAGGGCAGCCTCGGCCGGCCCGGGGGCCCGACAACGCCGCGCCCCCCCCCCCCCCTCCCATCCCGGGGGCCCCCAAACGGGGCGGTGACCACACCGTGCGGGGAGTCTGTGGGGAGTCGGGGTCACCGCACGGTCTTGGGACTCTCGGGGTCCCTCTCCGAGGACGTCTCGGGCGACTGGGGCCTCCGAGGTCCCAAGACCGTGCGGTGACGGACCGTGCGGTGAGGTCTTGGGGGATTTCGAGGTTACCGCACGGTTTGTCACCGCACCGTTTCGGGACTCCAGACCATCGGGGACCTGCTGGCCCCGGTCAATCCAGACCCGGGCCAATCAGGCCTTGTAGAATCCCGCAAGATCCTGCAAGCTCTGCACCCAAGCCTGGGTCAACGCGAAGGATCCTGCAAGATCCTGCAGGATCCTGCGCCCAAGCCCGGGTCAGTGCGACCCTTAGGCGGCGAGCGAGGGGGGGAAGTGAGAAGGGGCGGGCCTTCTCAGAAGTTTCGGAAGTCCCATGGCATTCTGAGAAGTTTTCTAAGCCTTCCCCGAAGACAGGAAAACTTCTCAGAAGGCGCGAGGGCTTCTGAGAAGCCCCGCCGCCTTCTGAGAAGGCCTTCTTCCTTCACACTTCCCCCCTCGCTCGCCGCTGAACCCTGGACCCCCCCCCGCCCAGAGGCCGAGGGTCAGGCCGGGTACGTCCTCCGACTGGCGGACTTCGGAAGGAGATAACAAAAAAGGACACGTCGGTCGGATGAAGCAGGTAGGAGCATGCAATAGGAAGACGGATAAAAACGGGATTGGGCCCAGGCCCTCCCAGAGAAGAGCAAACACACAGCAAAAGCATGTCGACTCTTGAAGTAGGAAGGCGCTTGAAGTTGATTGAATTCTGAAAATCCAAAAATACCTACTTTGGACGACCGCCGTGTAGCCAAAGTATTCACTGCGTGGGGCTCCACATATGTGCATCTATGAGTATGGGCCTGTCCGCCGTGAGCGTCTGGGCGCAAGGGCACGTAAGCGGGCTTGAGTTTTGACGATCTGCATAACATAACATACCATAGCACACCATATCATAACGTAACGTAACACAACATAGCATAGCATTATTCAGTGCATGGATCTCCCCATATGTGCACCTCGTACTCCTGTCGCTTCTCGCTGAACAAGTCGGTCTGTGAGCATCTGGGTGTGAGAGCGAGTCGGCGTTGACGACGGGCGTGACAAACACAACGGCGACAGCGACGACTTCAGCGACTTCAGTGGACAGCTTCGAAGAGCGATCAGGGAAGCACAAGTGTTAGAGCGAAGGGACGTTGGACCACCAAAGGGGGAAAACTTAACGAATCTGAGCATGAATGGTCTGAAAGAGGGTGAATCCGATTGTGAGTGAACCCGGGTATGGTTGAGTGGCATTGCCAGTGAGTCTAGGTATGGGAGAAGCTGAGTACGAGTGGGTCTGAAAATGCGTAACTCTGAATATGAGTGGATCTGAGTGAGAGTGAGTCAGGGTGTGGGTAAGTCTGGGTGTGAATAAATATGAGTGTGAATATAACGAGTACGAGTTTGAGTCTGCATGGGTCTGAGTACGAGTGAGTCTGGCAACGAGTGAATCAGAGGGTGGGTGGGTCTGAGTGTGAGTGATTCTGAGTGTGACTAACTCTGAGTGCGAGTGCGTCTGAGTATGGGTATGATGCAAACGAAACTGAATCTGACTGGTTCTGAGCACGAGCGAGTCTGACTACGAGTGCGTCTGAGGGTGGGTGGGTCTAATTGTGCGTGCGTCTGAGGTTGCGCAAGGTTGAGTGTGATTCGTTCTGAGTATGAGTATGATGAGTACTTACGAGTCTGAGTATGAGTGAGTCTGAGAACGATTGAGCTTGAACAGAACTGGGTCTGGGACATCCTCACAGCGTGTGGGCCCCCTGGGGTGCGAAAGCCATCGCCTCGCCCGAGACATCCTCATAATCTGCTCTGAACTCAAACGAACCTGGCCTTCAAAACGAGACATCCTCGCAACATGTGCCCCCAGGGGTGCGAAAACCAGCGCCTCGTTCGAGACATCCTCAGAATCTGCTCCGAAAGTGGATGATGTTGGGAACCAGCACAGGCAAACCGCTCGAGACATCCCCGCCGTTTTGGCGCGAACGGAGGAGTGCAATACCCCCTGACGGTCCCCCCTTAGGGGCGAAAACCAGCGCGTTGTTCGAGGCATCCTTGAAATCTGCTCCGAAAGCGGAGGATGTTGGGAACCACAACCGGCACCCCGCTCAAGGCCTCCCCGCCATTTTGGCGCGAACGGAGAAGTGAAATACCCCTGGAGGCTCCCCCTCGAGGCTGCTGAAACCCGCGACTCGTTCGAGACATCCTCAGAACTTGCTCCACCACCATCATCATCAGCAACATCATCATCATCATCATCATCATCATCATCATCATCATCATCATCATCATCATCATCATCATCATCATCATCATCATCATCATCATCATCATTCCTCTGGATATGAGGAAACATCTTCAAACAGAGTCAAAATGGCACGAACAATCGTCCCCCCTTTTTTCCGATTCTTGAATACTCTTCCAATAGGGGGACATGCTCGACGGAGCACCCCATGACGGAACGGACCAATCCGCCCAAGGATGTAGCCACCCAATCTGCAAACCCGCGCGGGGCAGCACAGCGAAGAGCCGACGGGCGCGCGGCCGAACCCCTGGATGCGCGGCGCTGTCTCTGTCTGTTGGGGGGGAAGCCTCACCTCCCGGCCCGCTCTGTCCATCGAGAGGAGGGCGAATCCCGATGAAGCTGGTGCCCCCCATTCCGCCCCTTCGCTCCCACTCCCTTCGTCAGATCGCGCATAAAACGATAGGATTAAGCCGGGCCTGTCCCCCTACAGGCCGATTTTCGACGAATTTTTTTTTAAAAAAAAAAAAAAACAGCCAAAACAGATTCAAAACACCATCAAACATAGTCAAAACATCGTCCCCAGACTAATGTTTGACCATTTTTGAAGATCCCTCCTGCAGAAGGGACGCGCCCGACTTAACGTTAGGACCCTGTCGCGGGTGCCCAGTCCTCTGCGCCCATCCGTCGGCGGATCGAGACGCGCATCAGCGCAGTGGGAAGGGATGCGTTGGGGTGGGCAGCGCGTCGGATGTGGCGCGAGCGCCCCTGGCTGCTCTCCGCCACCTCTTCCACCGCGTCCCACCTCCGCCTCCTCCTGCCCTTGTCCGCCTTGCCCCCGCACCCTCGTGGTCTCATTCGAAGCCCCCCTTTGAATTCTGCCAGGCTCAATTTGGCCCCTCGCGAGGTCGTGACGAGACGGGCGTGACAGAGCACGGTGTTGCTGACTGCCTCCTTCTCCTTCCGCCGCCCACCTTGCGAAGCCACCTCTTGAGTGAAAAGCCGAGGTCTCCGTCAAGAACTGCAGCCCAGGAGAAGGCCATTGCCAACAATACAATCATCACGATTGGTCTTTGCCCAGAGGAAGTCAAACGAAACACAAACACAATACAGTTCGGCGCTTGGGAACCACCGCCAATCCAAACAGCAAGCATAAACCGGGCGAGGTCATGCAGAACCTGCCAGGATGGTGTGTTACTCGTGTGGCGCGCCATTGGTTTCGCCATAGGGTGCGTCGTTCATGAATTACGCCCGGTGTTGAACAACAATTACGCGACCAATGGGGTGCGCCATCGACGGGTTCCGCAACCCGTTGCGCCATCCATGGGTTGCCCCATGCTTCATTCATGGGTTGCGCCGCTCTTGGTTGCGCCATACGTTGCGCAATCGGCGGTCGACATTTCAACGGCCTGCGGTTGGCTGCGAAACGAGTTGTACACTCGGCGTCCGATGATAACACCGCATGAGATTGACTGCGCCGTAAGATACGCTCTCAACGGCCAAATCAAAACGGCTTGGAATTCGTTGTGCGATAGGTTGCGCACTCGGCCACCAGAAAAAAAAACTACCTGCATTCGGTTGCAGCATAGGTTGCGCACTCGGCGGCCAGGGCTTAGAAAGCCTAATATATTCTGCGTCATCGGATCGCACTCGGCAGCTGAGAATACGACGGCCTGCTATCGGTTTGGCCGCAAGTTGCGCTCTCGGCGGCCGAATCTAAAGCGGCTGCTACACGTGCGACCAGCCAGACAATCGCTCAACCAGTCCGGGCAACCTCGCGGTAAAGTAATTCGGGTTACGCCCGAACAAAGGGGGCATCTGCTCTGGCCCTGTCCGTAGCTCCTGCGAGGCCAAAAGGTAGATCTCTGGGTCGGGCTTCTTGTTCGCCACGCAGTCGCCAGCGAAGATCCTGCATGGAGGGGATGCTGGACCAGGCCGGATCGGGGGGCCAGCCGCGTCTAACTGCCACTCCGACATGCACACATGAACATTCGATATACTGACAAGATGAACATGTCCAAGATGAAACGACAACACGGTTCAATCTACATACACTTTGGAGGCGCCATGATTATGAAACGAATCCAACTACAGGCCTTTTTTACACATTAAACTTTGTTACTGGCATAGCACGGTACAGTATTCAACAACATTGCGTAGCATACCACTTCAGAGCAACGCATAGCAGAACACACCGTCGCCTCGCTTAGCTTGGTGACCAGTTGCCCCGCGAGCCTCCCTCAGCACAAAATGGCTTAGCAACTGCGCACCTCTTGGACCTTGACACAGCGCAGTTTCGCATGGCATGGCATGGCCAGCCATAACATGGCGCTGAACTGGGACAACCAAAAGGTAGGAACTCGAAGCGAATCCAGCGGTGGCGACGAAGGCCTCCCAGGAGGCCCAAAAAGGGAATAACGTGCGAAGGGTAGGGTACCTTTTCGTCCTCTGATACACACAATGGTATCCCAGATGCTGGCGCAATGCTCCCGAGCCAACTTAAGACAACACAGCGCACAAAAAAACATGCACGTGACGGACCCAGACAGGGCTCCCCGAGCGCGATCACGACCGATAAAACCGTCCGTCGTGATTATTCGGCGGTGCGAGCATGTCTTGGTTGCGTGATACAGTCGGCCATGAGCGTAAGGATGCGCGATCAGAATGCAAGGGCCTTGGACGCCCATTTCGAAGCTTTTCGAGCAGGGCGCGGCCAACGAAACTGGCCAAGGATGGGCCGAGGAGGCAAGGATGCAAGGTACCCTTGGGAAGGCTGCCCATCCTTACTATGCGGGTTGGCTGTAACAGACCCCAAGCCATAAAAAATATTGCCCATTCTGGACATGGGTTGACAAGTCTTTGACACCACAGTGCCACTTCTGAGCCGCGTCTGCATCTCAGAGCGGGGGCGGAAATCTTGCCCCGATCGACTGCCGCCGCGATCGCCGCGGCGACCTCCCAAACCGATCCAAGGTTTGGTTCGGGATAGAATATCACGCACACGTTGGTCGGAAGAAACAGGTAGAAGCATGCAGTCGGGAGGCGTTAGAAGTAGGCTGGATCTCCGCCCGCCCGCTGAAGAGGAGGGCAGAAGGAAACCACTCGATCCTTGGAAGGCAGGCGCCTAAAGTAGATTGGATTCTGGGAATCCAAGCATACCTACTTCCAACGACCGGCGTGCAGAGATGCCCGGACTCCTTCCCTCCCCCTCCTCCGCCCAGCGGGCGGCCCCGCGCCCACCCCGCGCGCCGAATGGAGGCGGCGAGGTCGGGCAGCAGCGTCTCCACGACGGCCCTCACCGAGCTCTCGCTGCTGGTGGAGCACACCTCCAGGGCCGATCCCCCCTGGGGACAGAGGCTACGCCGAGAAAACCTGTACACATACTTCGGTGGCAACTCATGGGTGCCTCCCATACCATCTTGTCGGCTCTTGCGAATCGAAAGCTGATCGACGCTACACCGACGTAATCGACGCTAAATCGAAGATACGTCGATGCTAATCGATGATCATCGGCGCTATCTCGTCAACTCCAGACGCTACTCGACGCTAAAGACGGAATTCAGAGGGTGTACCATGCTCTCATGTTTTGCCACCGAAACATATGTGAGAGGCCCCCCCACGGGGTCCGAGTAGGTGGGGTCGAAGGATCGCGCCGCATCGCCAATGCATCGGCGATACATCGCCGCCGCCGTCGTGGCGAAAATCGGGCTCTGCATCGAGCCGCATCGCCGATGCATCGGCGACGCGGCGCGATCCTCCGGCCCCACCTACTCCGACCCCATCTGGGAGGCCCAGATGTGTCCTCCGAGAGTTTGCGCTGTGCCCTCAGGGAGGTTGGCCGCGTATACAATCGCTGGCTCCGCCACCCTCCTCTACAGGAACTGTCCACTGGGGAATGTCTGTGTAGAAATTTTCGCGGCCAGGGGGCGGAGAGCGATCCGCCCAAGGAGGAGACGCAGACCCTGACGCTTCGCGCTCGCGCCCGCGGGCTGCCTGAGAACAAAAAGAACCCAGGACTCCAACATGTCGAAGGCAAAACATGCCGAAGGCAAAACTGCCTGAGAACAAAAAGAACCCAGGACTCCAACATGCCGAAGGCAAAACTGCGGATGAATTCCCTTTCCGTTCTCGGCCTCCTGGGGGGGGCTCCGGGGCCCTGGGGCCGTCAAGGAGCCACTCGGGATGAGAAGCCGGGCACGGGGCGATGACGGGCCAACTTTCCACCACCACCACCATCGGTAGGACGGGGGAGAAGGGAGGAGAAGGGAGGAGGGGAGGTCCTCCTCCTCCTCCTCCTCCTCCTCCTTCTCTTCCCCCTCCTACCCATGGTGGCGGTGGTGGTGGTGGTGGCACATCGGCAGGCAGGACATCCACGAGGGCAACGACGACGAGAGCGACGACGAGAGCGACGACGACGACGACGATGACGACGACGAGAGCGACGACGACGACGGTAAGGATGGCGACGACGAAGGCGACAACGACGTCGACGACGATGAGGCCGACGACGGGAACCACGACCTAACTGGGCGGGTCGGGCGGGCGGACCCTGACAGGCGGAGCGGGCAGGTGGACCCGAACGGGCCGGCCGGCCTGGCGGACCATCACGGGCAGGCGTGTTCGGGCGGGACATGCGAGTAGTGTGCAACTCATCCTGCGGGATATCTGCCAGGGCGACGGCGACGACGACAGTGACGACGACGCCGACGACGACGGCGACGAGGACGACGAGGACGACGAGGGCGACAAAGACGACGACGATGAGGGCGACAACGGCGACGACGACCCCACCAGGCGGGTCGGGCGGGCGGACTCCAGCGGGCGGGTCGGGCGGCCAGACCGCGGGCGGGCGGCCCCTGATGGGCGGGTCTAGCGTCCGTCCTACGGCAAATCACATACCCATAATGCAGTGCGCATCGAGTGGCGGAGGTGGGACCCGTAATCATGCGTTCCTGTAGGAAAGCAGCCTGCGAACATCAGAACATGCTCGCGAGCATCAGCAACATGGCTGTGAGTGCCGGGAGAGCTTCGAACGCCAGTGTATATTGGGATCGACCAAAAGACCATCCCATATTCTGCACGCGTCGCGTGTAGGCGGCCGCCACGACACCCCCCGCATGAAACGGTGCTGGTGAGTACAGCCGTGCCTGCGAGCACCGCGCAGCGTTCGAGCACTACGGCACTACGGTATCCACAGACCTGCCACCTCCCTGCCTCGACTGCCCTCCGCCCGTCACTCCCATCCCGCCCATGTTGAGCGGTATGAGGTGGAAATCGCCCGGGCGGAACTCGCAGGGACGGAACTGGCAAAGGACGGAGCTCGCACGGACTGAGCCCGCATGGACGGAGCTCGAACGGACAGACCTCGCGCGGGGCTCGCACGGACGGAGCTGGAACGGACGAGACTCGCACAAACAAGACTCGCACGGACGGAACTCGCACGGACGGAACTCACACCACCAGGGCTCGCACGCAGAGAAACTGCAAACCGCACCCAACCTCACGCGTGCGAGTTCAATCCGTACGCAATCCGCGCGTGCGAACGGCGTCCAAACGACTTCCATATGCGAATCCCGCTCGTGTGAATTAAGCGCGTGCGATATCCGCCGCGTGCGAATTCCGCGTCGTGCGAGTTCCGTGCGTGCGAGTTCCGTGCGTGCAAATTACGTGCGTGCGATTTCCGCGCGCGCGAGCGCCGCGCGTGAGTCCCGCGGTCACCATATGCCTTAGACTTTACATTTCACCTGTCAAAACAATCATCGTTTTCCTCCTCCTCACGACTTCTCTCTCCTGCTCCTCCTACTCGCCTCCTCCTCTTCTCTCTCCTCCTCCCCCTCCTCCTCCTCCTCCTCGCCCTCCTCCTCCTCTTTTCCTCGCCCTCCTCCTCCTCTTTTCCTCGTCCTCCTCCTCCTCCTCCTCCTCCTCCTCCTCCTCCTCCCTCCTTCTCGCTCTCCCTCCTCCCTCCTTCTCCACCCTCCTGGTAAATTGTGCTCCCGCCCTAGAACGGGACCGCCGGGGGCCCCCCGTGGTCCACGGAGGCCTCCGCAGACCCGACAGGAGCAAGAAACATCAGAAAACTTTTGGCAGAACTCGGCACCTTCGCATCCGCTCTCCCCTCCGCCACCCTCGCCTCCCCCTGGGGGTCTGGGGGGGGGGGGGGAGGATCCCCGCGAGGAGTGCGGGGCCGCGCACCGCGATGGGCCAGCCAGCGTCGCGGGCCGCCGTCAAGAGCTCCCGCACGCCCTCGCGCAGCGGCAGCTGGCCCGAGCGGACGATGTCCTTCGGGGAGGCGCGCGCATGCTCGGGCATGCCCGCGTCGTGACTAAGATCACGACGGGAAGTTATGGGCCGGCTTCGGGCCCCAACCCAGAGTTTGCCCTGCGGACCCTCGCCGGGCCCCAGGGCCGTCAAAAAACGACTCGGGACGACAACTGGCACTGGTGAAAGGGTCAGGACTTAAGGGGACCCCGTATTGAAACACAAACAGGCGTCGGATGCATGGGTCTCTCTCCTACTCCACCTTCTCCTCCCTCCCTCGCTCCCCCTTTCCTTCTCTCTCCCTTTGGCGTCGAGCAAGCGTGGCGCACGAGGCACGTCGCGGTCATTCCTCTTCCTCCTCCTCCTAACCCTCCTCCTCCTTCTCCCCTCCCTCCCTCCATGCCGTCAGCTCCTGTTTCTCCCCCTTGACCTCATCCTTCCCATCCCCTGGTTCACGTTACACCGACATTGAGCACGGCTCCCCTTCTGCTCTCTAACCCTACCCCCTCTCCTCCCCGCCTCTCCTCCCCTCCCCCCTCTCCTACCCCCTCTCCGCCCTCTCCTACCCCCTCTCCTCCCTTCCC